GAGGAATTCATTGTACAGTACAACACAACCAATATCGGACAACGAAAAAATAGCCCCAGGATTATTATCTGGCCATCTTGATTCAAGCTTTGCAAATTGCCATAACCTTTTAGCAAGCACAGCGTTTTGTTTTTTGTGAGAGAAAATTAAACATTTTGGCAGCAATTATACTCTTAGACCTGGGACGGACAAGATACATGCTCTCACAGTATATATTGTATTTTTTGTAATATATTTCGAAATGCATGAAGATCCAGGCTTCTGCAACAATTAAAAAAAAAATCAAAATACCCTATAGTTAGGATAATCAGTTTGGAAAATGAACACATTTTCCACAAAAAAAAAGTTCCATCAAAAACTTTCTTTTTAATTGGGGGAGAGGAGGGGGCATTGAAATAAATAAAATTCTGCAAAAAAGTGAAATTGTGAGTGCTGAGCCATAAGTATTCTGGGGTCCACTGTAGTAGAGGAAACATGTTTACACTTATCCCCCCACCTAAGTTTTGTCAGAACTTTTCCATGAAAATTGAAAAATCTACATTGTAAACAAACACCAATTGTTGTGTTTCAAAATGTATTGTGGTGCTATGTATAAAAAGGTACCATCCATGTAGTTCTGGACCAAAGTGAGTTCTGTTGTTTCATCAGTCTGACAAAGAAAAATGAAGGATAACCTTCAGTTTGCCAAAATCCAGCATCATCTCGAGGGAGACCAGTTGCTCGATGACTTTCATTTTTTTGACCCCCTCGTTGCACTCAATCACGATCTGGCTCGAACAAAAATAAAGGATGAAATGAGCTGTGAATTTATTTTCATTTAATTGCACGGAATTAAAGAAACTGTACCCCGTGTATGGCCTCCTTTGCTTTGTGAAGATAGGACACGTCCTCTGAATCCACTTCAGTCAGTTTTAGGATATTCTAAGAAAAAATAGACACCCAGATTTATTAGGTACACAATCTACCGGTAATTAATTTTAAAAATAGTTTCAAAGTACTGCACACCATCATCAGTTTACAATTTAGAGCACACATGATGCAAAAGCTCTCTTGGAATCATGTTGATTGAATTAAATTGCATTTTCACATAGTTCAATTTTTTTGCAATGTAAAGGCTGTCTTGAATAAAGATGTTACAAGTGAACACATGTCAAAAGCAAATTACCTCCAGAATGAGCTTAATACGAGTGATTCTTTGGAAAGGAAGGACAAGGAAGGACTTAAGCGCCTGCCTCTGGCACACCGGCTCGCCCTCGAGCTGCTCGAGACATGACACGAAGTCACGGTTTTGCTGCCTTGAGATGGAAGAAGAGCGATGAGGGCGAGAGCACATGGAATCAGCGGCAAAACACGGCACACTCACAACAGCTGGTTGATAAGTGCCTCCTGGTACATCATGTTGGTAATGTAGGGCACGTAGTGGGTGCGGAAGGCGGGGCAGTGGTCAAGTACAATGTCCCCAAGCTGGGATAAAAACACGCTCTTGCCCAGGCGGCTCTCCAGGTCCATGAGAAACCTCAAATAAGAATATATTTTAAAAGGGGCAACACAGATCGGCTCCATTTTACCCGTAAGGACAAACAGTCTTTAAACATGCAGTATAAGAAGGTGTAAAGTAGCGTCACTCTTACTTCTCACTCGCGGCTTTGATGTGACGGACGTTAGAGAACAAAGTATGGTGCTCCATCTGGGACAAGGTGTGCTTGAGGGCCTTGGAAGAGCAGAAGTGATCCACAGCGACGCCCAGGCTCCTCAAGTAAGATGCCTCGGAGCTGATCAACTCAAACATTGACTGTATGAGTTGATCAGAAAGGGAAAAAAAAAGTATTAATTTAAAATTATATTGGAGATTTAGTGATAAGCAACCAAATATACACAAATTATGTCCAGTTGCTTCACTGACTCGCATTTACAGTATATCTGATTAAAACTCATTCACTCCCAAAGACGTTTTTATATGTCTTTTCAGACTTGGTTTAGAATTGGCTGGTACCGAATGAGTTCAAATAAATAAAAAATAGCAAGTGAGAGAGTTTTTTTGAGTGAAAATGGGCCACGCCACCCCCAGGACTGTTCCTTTAATACCAATCCATTCATTTTCTATAGCACTTATCCTCATTAGTATCTGGAGCCTATGCCAGTTGACATTTGGAGAGGCACATGTAGACAAACAACCATTCACACCTATGGACAACTTCGAGTAATCAATCCATGAGGAAACAGAGGACGAACAAATACTACAAAGTTAGAATCTCTGCTCCGACCCAGGACGGCACAACTGTGGCCGATGGGCAGACCATCCACCACAAATCCCATTCGAAACCACTTCACCAGATTATATCTGAGAATGACGCCGCACCTCCTGAAGTCGAATCTGTCGGGCCGTCAGACTGCCGAGCAGGCCGGCAGCCTGTACCTCGTCCAGGTCTTGCCACAGTGTGCACGGCGCCACGCGAATCACGCGGCGATCCGGAGAAGCGGGTGAGGTTGAACCAGGTGAGCTCTGTGGAGGGGACTCTTGGTGACTGAGACGGGACTGCAGACACTGCAGGTACTGGGGGGCAATCAGTTCAGACAGAGAGGTCTTTGTGTTGAGCCTCTGGAGGTCGTCTCTGACCGCCTGTACACAATAGTCCTGGTAGAGGGGGCCTACACATTCAAAAAAGTAAGTCATTTGAAAGAATATTACCAATATTCTTCAATGAAACATTTAGATTAAAAAAAAAAGGTGGTATCACTATCAGTTTACAAAAATTCAATCACTACACCAGTAAAACGTAACATCCATTTTCTATATCCATCCACCCATTTTCGAATGGCTTTATCCTCACAAGGATCACGGGCGCGCTGAAGCCTATCCCAGCTTTCTTCTGGCAGCAGGTGGTGTACACCCGGAATCGGTTGTCAGCCAATTGCAGGGGTCACATCGACTAACAACCGTTTGCGCTCACACTCACACCCAGGGACAATTTAGAGTGTTCCCTTAACCTGCAACATATGTTTTTGGAATGTGGGAGGAACCCGGAGAAAACCCACACAGACACAGGGAAACATGCAAACTCCACACAGGAAGGATGAAGCCGGAATCTAACCTTGCACATCTGCACTGTGAAGCTGGCGTGCTAATCAGTCGCTCGCCGTGCTGCCCCCATTTTCTATAAAAGTGTGTGTGTGTGTGTGTGTGTGCGTGTGAAGATACACATTACAAAAACATGCATGGCAGGCTAAATGAACACTCAAAATTGTTCCTCGGTGAGAGTGTGAGCGCGAATGGTTGTTCTTTTCTGCGTGCCCTGCGATTGGCTGGCAACCGGTTCAGGGTGTCCCCCGCCTACTGCCCGAAGACGGCTGGGATAGGCTCCAGCACCCCCCCCCCCCGAGACTCTTGTGAGGATAAGCTGATCGGAAAATGGATGGATGGATATATTAGAGACAGACAGACTCTACTCCCACAGCTCAACAATTGAGTAAAGACTTCTTGCTACTATATGAGGCTGTACAATATGGAACTACACTTACATTTGTGAATGTACTTTGAGTGGAAGGACACAAAGGGCTG